GGCATTTTTTTTGCGAATTTATACTTAATTATTTAAAAATTACTTAGAAACCGGTAGGTCGATAAAAAAGGAATTGTAAGTTAAAGTATTGTACTAGCAAAAATTGCGCTACGATGTGACATTTTTGCCATGTTCCGGTAAGAAACACGCATACAGACAACGGATTATAAGAATAAATGTATTTCCACACCTGGTCTGTATCTAGATGGGTGACCGCTTGGGAATACCAGGTACTGCAAGATAGGACGCACGGGTGGTGTTATGGATAATGGTTAGGAATTGTTAATCGGAGAGCCGAGTTCTAATACCAGTTGGGTTTGTTATATTTCCTTACGCGCAATGAATCCGGCTCTTCTCCCTACAGCTATGGGTTAATTAGTAAGGCTTGTATCACTAAATCATAATCATCCCCAAAAAACATATAATCTAAATATATTTTCTGGCTTTAAATAACCTGCAAAGGGTTGATAAACCGTAGAAAACGGAATTAATCAATCAAAGAGTCTCTTCCTTTCACTCATGTTCTTGTCAAAAAGCTGAAGATATTGATTATTTACCTGTAGTAGGAACCAGAAAATTCTGCTCCGCTGAGGCCCTCGGTATATAAAGTTGGTTTTGGGCTGCAAGGACCTGATGTGGGTAGAGGGCAGCGGCGGCTGCGGCAGCATGTTGCATGGAATAGGGGTAAGCCGCGGCCGCAGCTGCTGCGGCCGCCGCACTGTATTCTGGGAATGGTGATCGACCCAGGTTGAGGCCTTGGTAATCTCGTACTTGAAGCCTTTTCGGCTTGTTTAGTAAGATGTCTTCGATAAAGAACGACGTGTGTCGGTTGCTGTGGGGATCGGAGTAAGAGCTCAGGTTCATCATTGGAAGTCTGCAAAGAAGCAAGAATAGAATAGAAAATAAGATTATGAAATAAAATGCTTATGAGCTGACATAAAATGTAAAACGGAAGACAGTAAAATTTTGAGACGCAATCAGTTTTTTTTTCTATACAAAAAATCTTTTGTTTATTTAATTGTCTCAAGTAAAATAATAAGCATGCAAAAAAAAAAAAAAAAAAACAAACAAAAAAACAAAAACATATACAGTAAATTATTCTTTCTATATCTAATGAATACAATATGGAAACCAGTAATATGGAGTGCTAGAGAAAAGCAATGAATAACAAGAAATATTGCAATATAAGCTCTGGTAAAAAATAAATGTAATAATAATAATAACAGAAAAAATTTCTATATGAGCACTGGTAAAAATGCATGCTGAGACATTAAATTTATAAGTCCCAAAAGACACATGTTCAGTAGATAAAGACGTTGGTTAGATCTAGTAACTAGACCCAAAGAGTTGTGAGTTCAGCAGTGGTGAACCAAAAGTTGAGTAAAAGAGAAAAAAAAATTGAGACATCCGGAAGAGGCATGGCACGTGGAACTAGAACAAAACTACCCCGGTGGACGAAATAAAATGTTTGATTAGAAATTAAAATCACTTGAAGAAGGCCGGAGCGTACAACGGCCGAAATGTTGTGAATATGGCAATGAAGATTAGGATAAGAGTCTGATTAATGTAAATAAAGCATGTAAATTATTCTTTTTTTGTTTGTTTTTGTTTTCCTTTAGACAGAGATGATTACATATATATATAAGGAAAACAAACGTCCATTTTAAAATTCGAACAGCGTGGAAGGAAACGTCTATTAATGGTTAAATAGCAAAAATCTTAATTTTATGCGTATTAAAATCACTTTTAAGTATATATATATATATATATATATATATATATATATATATATATAATTGGAGATCGGAAACGTAGAGCCGAATTTCAATTCCATTCGGGTTCGTCATTTACTCTTGAGAAATATATGAATCAACCTCTTTTTCGACCCCCCGCTATAGGTTGAGTAGCAGAACAAGTATCGGTAAAAATCATTATATCTAAAAAATTCTCTGGTTTTAAATCACTTATCAAAGGTTGATAAGCCATAAAAAATCAATCTCTAAATAAAACTGCATAAAAATTAAGGCTCGCTTAATTTCGGTTGAAAGCCATCAAAACTAGATTAATAAGAATTATATATACAACTTAAACGAGAAAGTGAATAGCAGGAGCAAGTGCTCCGACGTTCGAGTATGCTCAAGTGTCTACAGAAAATTAGTATGAAATTGATATATAAATAACATAAGAACAGACTCTATTTCTTCCGATCATATAGAGCGAGTTTGAAGAAGTAGTTTGGACATCTGACATAACTTTCTATAAAAATGTTCTTCTGTACATATTCTGTGTATCTCTGGCCTGACTGTGAATCCATCTCTTTGTACCTCAACTAGAGGTTAAATAGTAGAGCCGACTGCTCTTTCTGGTTCAGGTTGGCATCAGGTTAAAAAATGTCTACTTCAACTCTGGATTTCTAATGTTTCCGCTTAAAATTTGAACTTTCATTTACTATTTATTTAGTTTTCCTCAATAGGAGTAGATAGATTCGCCTATCGTTCGGTTCACACTCCTTCCCGGTCTTTTGAACAGATATAGAGATATATGCTTTGTTTCCTATTAAGGAGTGGGTTTTCTTTTAAGTATTTTCATTCTCTTTCAATCCCAATAGCCCCCCACCCCTCCTGCATCTTAGTGGCATTATGGCCTTCCTTAGGGCGAATTGATTTAAAAAAAAATGAAAAAGAAAAGAGAACTCTGAATTCAAACAGGATGGACAATGATTAATTGATTTGTTCTTTTTTACGGTTAACCAATCATTTGTGGGTTATTTAAAGCCGAGACACATTGAAGATTGTAAGAATATATATATATATATATATATTTACCAAGGGAATATTGCATTAACAATTTTTTGTTGCGAATAACAATGATTTCTACAGACAAAACTTCTGTTATTTAACCCGAAGTTGGAGGAAAAGAGGTGGATTCATACATTTCCCAGCGGTATTTGCGCCTAAGTGGATATAATGAACGTGACTGGAATTCGAACTCGGCTCTCCGAATTCTTATTCTTAGCCGCTATCCATTAACCAGGATGGACATGGGACACACTGTAAAAACCTAATTGCGACTGAAACCACATATACTGTACTTCAGAAAGGAATCTAAATTTGCTTAGAGCTACAAAGTACAGGAAGCAGTGGAGAGCCATGATCGCCCATGTATAGAAAAAGAAGGTGAAATGTATGCAACCTACAGTTGGGCAGACCTAGGGCGATAGTAATGAAGACATTAATAAACCTATTTATTTTATACTAAAGTTCACCTACTAAAAGGTTCGAGTGTCACTCGTAGTAGGGGGTTAGGGTTAAAATGGTCATGATGGATCAGTTGTGATAGATGTGGTGGTAGGGAGAGAGGATAAGGAGGATAGATAACGATTGACCCTTGACTTGAAGAGGTTAAGATTGTAATGTTTAGGGAAGCATCCTTGCGGGAATTTACTACACAAAGGACCATGCTCTTGGGGGGTTGAAGGGAGATGTCCCAATGGAACTTTCTCTTTGCACTTGGAATATAGAGAAAATGAAGATGTTTTGGAAATTGCGTGGCCTGCCTGAACTGTAATGATCTGAACTGGTAGAATTAAATGATGGCTCACATCTGAACATTTGCCATGGAAATATCAATAAAGTAGCGATAGGCTTGCATCTGTTGGAATGTGGCTGCAGACCCCACAGAAAGGTCAGCAAAGATTAATGACCAGCAATGTGGCGGTCAGTTTCGAGGCGGGCAATAAGTGTATGAGATGAAAGAGTGAAGGTAGTTCAAATTACCGACGTCGCTGGACACAGCAGCGTTGACCAGCATTGAAAGACTTTAATAGGTGACCGTTGGGTGTTGGCAAAGATTCCGTCAATTCTTCTGCAACTGTCATCGGTTCTGATTGGTTAACCAGTGACTGGACCTACGTTCGCGTCCTTTTCGCTTTCTTTTCAACGATAATTGGGGTCTGGGCCGTTTTGATCATTCGATTATTTACTGCCTATAAAGATATTTAGAATTGTTGCAACGTTCAGCCAAGTGCAACATGCGCGCTCGCGTGCATACACATACACGCACGCAAGAGACATTCCGTAAGTAATGCCACCTATTTATTTCCAATGAAGCGACAACAGATAGAGGAAATACAATAACGCACTATTTTCGTGGAACTCGAGGGTTGAGAGCTAAGGCTACCTAGACTGTGGTTTGTCAACCAGACCACTTTTGCTACAGCTGGAATACATTAGCCACCACCCAAGACAGAACATCGAGACTGAGGCCCAAAGGCGTATTGGGATAGCCTAGGAAGCATTCCAAAAGCTAGCAGACTACTAAGAATTGGCAAAATTTCGCTAGAAACAAGTATTAAACTGCTGTGTGACATCTGTCCTCCTGTATGGCAGTGAGTGCAGGACGATCTCCTCAAAGATGAAGTGTCGACTTGAAGCAGCATAAATCTGGTTCTACAGAAGGATGCTGAGGCTACCGTGAACCGAACAAGTGAGTAACGACGAAGTTTTGGAGAAAATAGAAATAAAAAGGAAACTAATACTTAACATCAGGAAGAGACAGTTGATATTTCTGAGGCGTATAATGAGGAAGGAGGGCTTGGAAAATCTGATACTCACGGGACAGAGGGACAAAAGAAGACAACACAACATATTTAATGAGCTTGAATAATGGACGGCGAAACAGGGCTTAAGAGAAATAACAGAAAGACAAAGTTTATTAAGAGCTACAAGGGAGAGGAAGTTGTGGAGAGCCATGATCGCGTAAGCCCTGAAGGGACACATCACATAAAGAAGAACTGTGCTAATATCCAACCTTTGTTTTCATAAACATTCAATACCACTATGAATACCACTGGGTGCTTTTTTCAACATAGAGGAATTTTAGTTTGTATACTCTTTCAAGTCAGACGCTATTTTGCCAGATTGTTGTGTGTAACAAAAAAAAACAAATAAACAAAAACAAACAAGCAAGAGAAATAACAACGAAAAAACTGGGTTGCTGTTGGGGTAGGTTCACTATCTTTACCCTTGTCAGAGGCACATGCATCACAGCCAAATGTCTGTGTTATGGTGACAGCACATAATCTTGCAGAGACCGTTCCCAGTAATGGCGGGTACGACTGTCAATATCATGTACTACAAGTTCCCTTTTCGTTTTATTTTTTTTTCAGAACTATGGTTTTCTCGCTTATGATTTCCAAATTGGATCACTTGACATTATCGTCTTTATTCTTGTTGTTGTTGTTGTTCTTATTATTATTGTTGTTGTTATTGTTGTTGTTGTTCTTCTTCTTCTTCTTATTATTATTATTAGTGGGTGAAGGAGCAGCACGTCAACTGGGATAGATAGATAGATAGATAGATAGATAGATAGATAGATAGATAGATAGATATGACATGATATGATGACCCTGGGGTAAAATATACGAAGCCCAATCCATCGATCCATTGTGACACCCAGTCTCATAAGGGTATACCAGGCACACGCATCACAGCCAAATGTGCACGGTATGGTGATAGATTTTAAAAGTAGTGCACAATCTTGCAGGTGGAACACAGTTAGAAATGCTTTCAGTTTGGGTAATCCAGTCTGTTCAGGCGATATCGGATTGAGGGTATTACCATATATCAAGATTATTATTATTATTTTATTTCCTTTGATTTCTGTTGTGTACGCATTTCTTTCCAAGTCCCGCCCAGAGACGTAAGGTTAGAAATGGCATCATGACATTTTCCATCGACTAATTTAAAAAAAAAAACCCAAAAAACCTGACACTCACATATTTTACTATTTTACATAGATAAAGCCCTTCGTAAGGTGTGGACTGTACTCGTGAGAACAGAATTTTTTTTAAAATTTTTTAAGGCATGGGCTTCCAGGAATCCCTTCAGTGAGTCTACTGGAATCTTTTCCAAACAATCCGAGGGCTCCAACTACAACAGGGATTGTTTATTATTATTATTATTATTAAGACGAGTTGGTGGAAAAAGAATTGTCGATCCGGCTAAGCACTTAGATAGAGATGATGACCCTGGGGTAAAATATACGAACCCTAAGCCATCCATCCATCGTGATACCCAGTCTCATAAGGTATACCAGGCACACGCATCATAGTCAAATGTGCACGGTATGGTGATAGGTTTTAAAAGTAGTGCACGATCTTGGAGGCACTTCACCCGCCAAAATTCTGATTTATGGATATCTGGTGAGATTTTGTGAAGTAGGTCGGGCGAGAACTGCTCAGTACTCCTTCGTATTATTATTGCGATAACCGTCTTTTGCTTCCTGTTTAATGGTCACTTCAGGGAATGTTACCTGAAACCTTGTGTAAACCAAGGTAGTAAATATAAACATTTTGCACAAATTCTGATGTTAAATGATACTTAACATGTACAGTGTTACATTTTCTTTACATCGATAATACTCCATTGAGTAGATGAACAGTTCTACAGTGTAATCTTTTGACTTCTTGTAAATAGAGGCTATCGGGTATCTTGTTAATGTTCTTGTATGTAACTTTTTATTGTACCCAGGGATTCAATTATTATAGGCATATTATTTTAAGAGTTCACATTTTTTACTTTCAATCTCAGATATATCCTTATATTCATTTGTTTTTGTTATACCGGAACATACCTATTCTATTGTTAATAGACTCTCCCACAGATAATAAGTAGTAGTAGTGGCAGTCGCCAGGGCTCAGAGGGGAGTTGGTGTGTCAGTCGATGTCGGACATTAAAGTATCATCACCACAACTAGATTGCTGCGTCATTAAGTATTATTTCAAGTTCCTAACGTTTTGTACGTCGAACCTAATTTAGGACCGACTTAGTGAAATACAAGCCTCCACTGTGAAAACTACTCTACATCAGTTTTTTTTTCAGATTCTTTAAAGGATGTACGTGGTGACTGCCAAAAACTGACATCATTTTGTAAACTAACAACTTAGACAATTCTCGCTCAAATTATAAGAAAATGTGTAAAAACTAAGTTGACTGTGTTGACTTATCTCATTGAGAATTTACCAGGAAGATGAATTGGGCGTGGCAATGATAATGACAATATGCTGTTGAAATGTCCACCATGTTCACCTGACTTGACACTTTGTTATTTTTCCCTAAGGGGCTATGGGAAAGGACAGGTTTATATTCCCCGCCCCCTGTTCATATAAACCTAGAGGAATTTAAGCAGAAAATCATTGAAGCGCTGGAGAATGTTACGCAAGACATGCTACAGCCTGTTTGGCACGATCTGGACTACCTACTTGACGTGTGTCATGTCGCAAGTGGTGCGCATATTGAACATTTATAAACTCTTTTGAAATTGATTATAAAATCTAAATCCCTTAGAATATTTTGTTCGAATTTTGGCACATAAATATTTTATTGTTCAACATGAAACCTGTTTAATTTCGTTTGCCTGTGACATGTAGTTACTCAGATAATCACGTTTTAAATGATGTCAATGTTTTGGGGACACCGTGTACTTTGTTTGGTTCTTGGAAAACCTCTTTTCTCTATTCTTATGCGTCTTGGGATTTTAGCTATCTTTTTTTTATAAACCTTGGATTATCACCTTTTTTTCTTGAAGCCGACACTACAGTGTGCAAAATACAGGGTGTCTACCAAGAACTGACATAATTCTATATTTTAATAACATGGCCGATTCTCGCCCAAAAGATCTCAAATTTTCAAATTTGGCTCTGCTGACTTATCTCAATGAGAATTCACCAGGAAGATGGATCGGACGTACTAGTGATAATGACAATGTACTCTTGAAATGACCACCACGTCCACCTGATTAGACACCTTGTGATTTTTTTCACTAAAGGGCTATGTGAAAGGATCGGTCTATATTTCTCTACCTATAAAACTAGGGGAATTTAAGTAGAGAATCACTGAGGTGCTGGAGAATATTACGCAAGACATGCTACAGCGTGTCTGGCAAGAGCTGGGCTACCAACTTGACGTGTGTTGTGCCACAGGTGGTGCAGATATAGAACATTTCTAAAGCCTTGTGAAATCGATTATAAAATCTACATCCCTTTGAATATCTAACTTTGATAAATAAATATTGTTCAACATGAAGCTTATTTAATTTCGTTTGCCTGTGACATGCAGTTATTCAGATATTCACATTTTAAATGATGTCAGCTTTTGGGGAATACCCTGCATTTTTAGTTAAACGCAGGACCATATTCATGAGAACTCATTTTGTTTGTTGTTTAATCATTTGGGCCAACGGCAACTAAACCGGTTCTCCAACCTCGGCCCATGGTTATGTAGGAGAAAGTACCAGAAGGAGCTTCACGGTTATGTATACAGCCAGTGCAGTGAGGACACGACATCGTTGGGCGGCGGGCTTCCTAGGCTGAAGTCAGCGTTCAGGACGGAGAATCAACTGGAACGTGTCCGAAGGCGAGTCTTCAAGTTGGTGGGGGTTGCTGTGATTTGACCAGAAGAGGGATTGACTCTGCTAGGTTCACCCGCCCAAGACACGCTTCACATATGAGAATACCTGTCCGCTTTTTGGATCTAAATTATGTGAAGGGAACTGGTCAGGTCTTCAGCTGTGCAGCGACTTTACGGCCACACCCAGTCATGAGACTGACGATAATGGTGATGATAAATAATGTATTGTACGACGCAGTCAATGTTTATGTTTTGTTCTTTTTCATTCACAACTTGACAATTGCATTGTACATGAAACTTACAGATGTGCTACTGGTGAGGATAAGAAGTATATTTATAATATATATATATATATATATATATATATATATTTTTTTTTAATAAAAATTTCTGTTTTGTTTACTTATTTTAATAAAAATAAAATTTTATTTTCAGTTTATAAAAATGCATACTCTCCTGAATAAGCATTTAAAAAATATTATTGTTGAATTGTCATGTTTCTTTTTCATAATAATTATTGTACCAATCCAATATATATATATATATATATATATGTCAACATCAGAGGCGACAGTCTGTTTCAAAGCTAAACCCAATCCTCAGGCCTGATATATATATATATATATATATATATATATATATATATATATATATATATATACTACGTATATACTACTTTTATATATGTGGGGCTACAGTAAATCTTCGCTCTCGCAAAGCCATCTTCTTGATATTTTTAAAGTTTTTCTTAGTATGTCACAAGACCATTTGTGAAGATTGTGTAGCTCTGAGTAGGCAAATTATATCGCTGAGGAGGAATAATGTTGCGCCAATCTTTTTTTTTTCGAATGAGATGAGGCTGCCTAGAAAATCATAATCTAAAATCTGGACTTTGACTGAGTTCGAACCATTGCGAAAATTGCCCAAACTCTCTTATTGTCGAACCAGGACTTATGAAAAGCATCTTACTTGGGCCTTCATTTTCTTTTCGCGCCCTTTTCCTTCTGATTATTCCGCCATTTTTTTTCTTCTCTCGAGGCGTCTTCTATTAGCGACAGTCGAGTGACTTAACAAATATTTAGTCTGTCAAACTCAATAGTGGTAATTGCGATGCAGTAATCAATTGACAATACTATGAACAGCTCATTAAAACTAATATTTCAATAATGGTTTTAGAATTTCGGAAGAAACAAATTAAAGAAACAGAAAGCTAAGTTGATAGAAATAATGAAGGTAATCATCAAGGGATGACGGGAATTGTGGAGGTTTGAATAATGGCTGTAAGAAATACAAGGAATAAACAAAATCCGCAAGACCGTCGTTAAACATAAACGAATCGAGGAGAAGGAGTACAGAGAGAGAGAGAGAGAGAGAGAGAGAGAGAGAGAGAGAGAGAGAGGAGAGAAAAAAAAGAGCAAAGAAAAAACAAAAGATAACGATGAATGTAAGAAAGAAAAGAAGGAAGAAAATAATGTAACATGGAGAATTGAGAAAATATTAATGAGCGAAAGAAATTTAATTGGGATAGAAAGAAAGGAAGGCAATAGAAAAAATATTGATTGAAAAGAGTAGCCAAAATGAATGAGTGGCATTTAATTGAAAAAGAAAGGAAGAAAAAATATAAATAAACGAAATGAACGAATAAAATTGGTTTAATTTTTTTTTTTTTTTTTCATTCATTTCATTTATTTATATTTTAAGCAGAAAACACGTAACATAACGATATTGACATTCCCTGAAGGTTACTCAGATCGACAAGCACCTGAAGAAGGCCGGAGGGCAGAAAGGCTGAAACGTTTTGATAACAACAAAGATGAGAACAATAGTCGGAATGTAAATAATGTAAATAAATAAAATATACGGAATGAAAAGAATGAAAAAAATGAATAGAGGAACAAATAAGGAGAAAGAAAAATTGAATGAAAAGAAGAAAAAATAAAGACAGAAAGAAAGACGGAAAAAACAGAGAACGAGAAAAATGAATAGCGGAATAAATAAATGTAAAAAAAATGAACGAATGAATGAATAAGGTAGAAAAGTATATAAATTAAGTTTATCTATCTATCTATCTATCTATCTATCTATCTATCTATCTATCTATCTATCTATTCCAATCTGAATCTATCTATTTATCTAGATATCTATCTAGATATCTATGTATTCCTATTTAAGCCCATTTCTATCTATCTATCTATCTATCTATCTATCTATCTATCTATTCCTATTTAAGCCCATTTCTATCTATCTATCTATCTATCTATGTGTGCTTCTCTTTGAATCTACTTGAGTGGAAAAAACGTAAAACTATTATTAAAATTTATTTATTATTTATGTAAAAAGAAATAGATAGATAGATAGATAGATAGATAGATAAATAGATAGATAGATTTTAATAGGAAGAGATAGATAGATAGATAGATAGATAGATAGATAGATAGATAGATAGATAGATAGATAGATTTTAATAGGAAGAGATAGATAGATAGATAGATAGATAGATAGATAGATAGATAGATAGATAAATAAAAACGTAAGGGAAAAAAATGTGTGCCTTTCTCTCCCCACATATGGTCTGCTCAACCACTCTTGGAATTATAATGACTCTTCTGAAAATGATAGGCAATATATTTGGTGGTATTACTTAGCTTTAACTTCATCTACCACAGAGGCTATGATAAGTAAGCACCATGCAAGAATCGATTTCGAGTGACTTTCGATACTCACCCGCTCACAGGCGCCCAAATATTTACTTAGATTTGTTTTTTGTTTTTACTACGTTTTCATTAAGGTGACAAATGATTGCAATGAGCAATCTTGAGCAAATTCAGAATGACTAGTTTGCAAATACAAACATTTAAATCTCTAGTGTGTGTTTTAACAGAGAACGGGAAAACGTGATACCAAAATATGAAGCCACATTGAAATCGGGAAAGATTCATTCGAAACGCTAATTAAAGTTTTAAGAAACAGGAAAATATCTTTATAAACATGGAAAAATGAACTGTTATGTAATTTCAGTCCTCCTATATGCTGCATAAACTCTTCACAAATGAAGAAGAGATTTTAGATAACGGAAATGTGGTTCTACAGAAGGATACTGAGAATGCCATGGACTGAACATGGGAGCAGCGGCAAAGTTTTTCGGGAAAATGGAAAACAAAAAATGGACACCCCTACGTCAAATCAGAAAGAGACAATTGAAATTTCTCGGTCACATAATTAGAAAAGAGGGCTTGGAGAATTTGACACTCACATGCCATATATTGAATACAAGAGGAACAGAGGTAAACAATGAATAACCTGTCTAAAAATGTTTGTTAAAATAACGATTAGGAGAGATAGCAAAAAGACAAACCTTACTTAGAGCTAAAAAGGTTATGAAGTTGTAGAGAGCCATGACCGCCCAATTCCTGAAACGACACGGTACGTAAAAGAAGCTTACTAACTCTCAACCTCGGGCAGGTGTCTCATGAGCGCGCATTTGCATGTCATTCTGAATGTTCCGTTGAGTTTTTAATTTGGCGAAAAGCTACAGATATTGAGCGCTATGAGAATGAAACCTACAGTCAGCAGCATTTTGGAGAACCTTGTTAACCACAACCATACAGCCAGTGCTCGAATCAATATTTACTAAGCTAAATCGAACATGATGACCATTGGGAGGATCGAATATGTGCCGATTACCCCGTCTAGCAAGCTAGCTATTGCACTAAGAGATGAAAAAAAGCAAACGGAATTTTTAAAAAAGAAAAGCAAATGAGAAATAAGAGAGAGAAAAAAGTAACAGAGAGAGAGAGAGAGAGAGAGAAACCAAAACTGAAACTGAAGAGGGAACAAAAATATGAAACAACAGAAGTAAAGAGAATATTGAAGAAAGAAAGAAGAGAAAGACAAGAGAGAAAGAAGTGAAGAATAAACAAGCCGAAATGTAGAGACGGAGAGACAGAAAGGGAGAAACGGAGATGAAGAAAAAAGAAAGAAAGAAAGAATGAAAGAAAGAAAGAAAGAAAGAAAGAAAGAAAGAAAGAAAGAAAGAAAGAAAGAAATAGAAAGACAAGGTGACGAAATTTGAGAATAAGGAGGCAAAATTTGAGAAAGGAGAACCAAAGAAAGAGAGTGAATTGAAAGAGAATTTTAAAAAGAAAGAAGGAAGAAATTTGAACGTAAATTAAGAAAAAGGGCGATGAAGGGAGAAAGACCTAAAAATAAGGAAGGGATGAAAGAAGTAAATGAAATTACAAAGAAGAAAACCAACATAGAAATTAGAAAGAAAGAAAGAAAGAAAGAAAGATACAAAAATAGAGGGACAGAAAAAAACAAAAATGAAATTGAAGTGGAGAAGAAAAATATGAAATAATAGAAGTAAAGAACATATTGGAAAAAGAAGGAAGAGAGAAGCAAGAGAGGATGAAGAAGAGAATAAATAAAAGAAAACTTAAGGAGAAAGAAAGACAGAAACAGAAATACACAGAGAAAGAAAGGGCAAGTGAAAGAGAAAGGGGATGAAAATTGAGAATAAGGAGACAAAAATCCCGAGCACAAGAGAGAATGTAGAGCGGTTACAATTGAGAAAAGACAGCGAAAGGCGAAGATGAATGAAAGAAAGATTGTAAGAAAAACACGGAAGAAAAGAAAGCGGAGGTGAATACAGAAGTAAAGAAAAAAGAGGAAGAGAAGGCAGAGGTAAAGAAGAAAAAGAGGAAGAGAAGACAGATGTAAAGAAGAACAAAGGGAGGAGAAGGCAGAGGTAAAGAAGAAAAAGAGGAGGAGAAGGCAGAGGTAAAGAAGAACAAGGGGAGGAGAAGGCAGAGGTAAAGAAGAAAAAGAGGAGGAGAAGGCAGAGGTAAAGAAGAAAAAGAGGAAGAGAAGACAGATGTAAAGAAGAACAAGAGGGGGAGAAGACAGAGGTAAAGTAGAAAAGTGGAAAAGCAAGCGAAGATAAAGAAGAAAAAGAGGAAGAGAAGGCAAAGGTAAAGAAGACCAAGAGGGGGAGAAGGCAGAGGTAAAGAAGAACAAGAGGAGGAGAAGGAAGAGATAAAGAAGAAAAAGAGGAAAAGAAGACAGAGGTAAAGAAGAAAAAGAGGAGGAGAAACTAGAGGTTTATAAGAAAAACAGAAGAGGAGAAGGCAGAGGTAAAGAAGAAAAAGAGGAGAAGAAAGCAGAGGTAAAGAAGAAAAGAGGTTGAGAAGGCAGGGGTAAAGAAGAAAAAGAGGAAAAGGCAGAGGTAAAGAAAAAAGAGAAGAAGAAGACATAGGTGAATAAGACACAAGAGGGGGGGAAAAGGCAGGGTAAAAAGAAAAAGGGGAAGACAAGGCAGATGTAAAGAAAAAGAAGAAGAGGAGAAGGCAGAGGCAAAGAAGAAAAAGAGGAACCGAAAGCAGAGTTAAAGGAGGAGGAGAAGATAGGGTAAAAAATGGAAGAGGAGAAGTCAGAAGTTAAGAAGAAAATGACGAGGAGACGGCAGAGGTAGAGAAGAAAGGGAGGAGCAGAAGACAAGCGCCCAATCCGCGAGTATTTATTTGAATGGCATTTAGTAGAGGTGTGTACATAAGATTATTACAGAATATTTGATGTTTGTAAACTGTAAACCATTTCTGCGTGTATGTCAGTGGATCGAGGTTCTTCAGGGCGTAAGAGAGTAACAAAATCGCTCAATGGACATAGACATTGAGGTAATGGAACCTGCTTTGGGTCCACTTTATTGTCGACCACTTATAATCACCATTTAATATTGAAACTCTCAAGAAAAGCCTAACCTCTTTGAGATCCACTCCTAAAGCAAAAATTCGTAGGTAAACTTACCGGAGTCCATAACTAACTCGAAAAACTCGCTGCTTGCGTTTTTGAAAATCGATTTCCTTCGGTTATCATGTCTCACCAGGACGTAGGCTATTATAGCTGTCGACATTTTTTTTTAATATCTGTAAGATGTGTATTAACATGATTGTTCTTTGGAAAGATATTAGAGCGCAGGAGATCATGGCTCTCCACAGATTCCTTCATTATCGATAAATTACCATGACTTCTTTGGGAATGATACCGTAGCTTCTCCCAGATTTTTTTTTATTGTCCTGCTTATAAACAGTTTACCAACGGGGATAGGAAGCTTAGTTAAACCATAACTAGTCCCTGCCCCTTTCTAATACTGCTCTCCATCGGGACGCAGGCGTTTATAGTTTTCCACATAATCCTTTACTATGAAATGCCATGACTTCTTGGGAGAGAGAGCCGAGTGCTTCACCGTACACATATTCTCGATTTTGAATTATCCTTCTTGACAATAGAGGTTAGAAAGTCTAGTTAACCCATAGATAGGCATCTTTATTTTAATGCCATTAACCCCCCCCCTTTGCATGATGTAGGCGATCATGTTTCTCCACAGATTCTATTTTATCTGTGAATTTCCATGACTTCTTACGAAAGATATTTGGGTGGTTACCTGTTACCTTCCCCACGATTTGTGAATTTAGAGTTTTTCTTCTCCTAGACTGGTTGCCACACAAGGTTAAAGACTTCAGTTTGGTTCGCTGTTTGACCCATTGCGGAAGAAGAGATGGTTCATGCCTTACACAAGAATATTTACGCGAAATTG